TTACATAGTTTAGACGAAATTCACGAGACGAATCTTTTAAGCCTAATTAGATTATGATTGGACACTAATTACCAAATAACCACGAAAGTGCTACAGTACCATTTTTCAAAAAAAATCGCCAACTAAACAAGACCCTAGTATAATCCCAGTCTTAGTTAGACCCAGTCTAATCTCTATAAGTTTTGCTAGAAGTTTGTCAATTTTGGTATTCACGTACCTACACATGATGCAGGCAATAATACACATGAACCATTGCTTTTACCTTTCTTAGATCTGCTCCCATAACTTCACTAGCCAAAGAGGATAGCTCCAAAAACTCCCCTCCTAAAAAAAAAAGGTAGAGACCAACTCTATGTTATTTTGTGGCAGAGCTCCTCAAACACTACTAAAGAAAGCCTTTTTAAGGCAGCTAGAACGGGTTTGAAGAGATGGCTGCTCCACCCGCTCTACTTGTGTCTCTAGAAAACAATGATTTCTAGAGGTGACTATCCAATTGCCCTTAGAAATCGACTTGTAGAGTCAGGCCGAAACCCAACCACCTCTAGAGATTGATTTCTAGAGGTGGGCTGAAATCTAGCCTACTCTTGAAAAGGATTTACAGAGCTACCAATCTAGTCAAACAACCTAACCACAGGAGAAGCCCACCAGGCAACCCCCACAAGTCAAAAGTTATGTGAATTTTGTGCACGTGCAGTTGTCATGAGTGAAAGGATCAAGATTTCTAAGAGAGAAGTGAATTGGGCTAATTCTCAATTTCTTGCAATAATTAAGCCCTAAACTTAGCCCATTTCACCCCCTTTGTGTCTAGAAGTGTTTCTATTGTTCTATCGCATAAAAGTTTTGCATCCTAGGTTCCAATCCTACTCTAGCATAGCAATTCTAAGAATGTAAAGACATGAATTGAATTGCTCAAATATAAATGCTCGGAGTAAAGAGAGGGAGAGGAACGCAGTGATGTTTTTCTGAGGTATCGCAGAGTCGTCACTCCCCACTAGTCCTCATTGGAGCACCCGCACAAGGGTGTAGTTCCCTCTTGATCCGCACAAGGATCAAGTGCTCTCTATGGGCTGATTCTTCGACACTCCGTCGCGGTGTATCGCCCACAACCGCTCACACCATGACTTTGGTCATCCACAAGCTCCGCCGGATGATCACCAAGCTTCCAATCACCACCAAGCAGTCTAGGTGATGGCGATCACCAAGAGTAACAAGCACAAACTCTCACTTGACCAAGACAAGCCTAATGAGAAAGGTGGATGCACACTTGCTACTCCCTATGCACTAATGAGGTCCTTAATCTTGAATTCTCAAATCTCAATCATCTCACTAGGCTCTTACACTCCCTTGCACTCTAAAGGTGCTTCTCAGCTGAACCAATGGGCAGGAGAACTAAGTTGGACGAGTGCGAGAAGTATTTATACTCCCAACTTCAAAACATACCCGTTGGGGTCTAACTCAGCATTTTCGGGGTGACTGGACGCTCAGGTCAAAGTGACCGGACGCGTCCGATCAGTAGCCAACGGCTACATGACGTCAGTACATTCAACAGACCGATACAGAGATCGAACTCTGACCTGCGTCCGATTGTCGCCTACCTGACGCATCCGGTCAACTATTTTCTTCTCTGAATACTTTTTGTTGTCGATCGGACGCGACCTCCAGTGTGTCAGGTCACAACGTCCTCAGCGTCCGATCCTGTGTGAGCGCTACGCCCTCTGTGCTATAGTAGCCAGCACCTGCGCGTCCGGTCAGGAGCCAGCATCCGGTCACTCCTCTGTTCCTGTTGCGCGCGCCAAGCAACTGACCTGACGCGTCCAGTCCCACAAGGACCAGCGTTGGGTCACCTTGTCTCAATTTCATTCACTTCCAATTCAAAAAACTTTGTGAATGAAGTTGACTCCAACTGATCTTTGCGCTATCCCTGAGCTACCTAGTGCTAAGTTTTACAAGTGAGCACCACACCTAAACCATTAGACTCACCTAGCTCAAGCTACTAGTTCATACCCCCCCTTAATAATACGGCCAAAGGAAAAACAAAGTCCTAAACTACTCTAAGTGTCTCTCCAACACCAAATAACACTTAAAACTAGTTGTCCTTAACCTTATCGTCCATCCTTTGAAAACCGAAACGATTTCCATCAATAGGGCCATGAGAACCATAATTGCCCAATCAATCACCATTACCATGACTTAACCAAAATTGCCTTTGCAAAACACACGTTAGTCACAGTAATCTTGTGTCGTCATTAATCACCGAAACCCAACTAGGGCCTAGATGCTTCCAGTGGGAATCAAACTCACAACCTTTTCCTTTCTTACTACTTCACCCCAAAGTCACTTGTGACCAAGAGGCTAATATAAATCGAGAAATGTTGAGACCCTAAATGAATTCAAATGAAAATTCGTTTATGTTGTTTCTCTATCAGAGGTCATTTGAAAATTAAAAAAATGAATTTCAAAATCTGAAAATAAAACATAATTTTTGGGTCTTCAATTATTTCAAATAAAAAAGTCATCAGTTACAAAGTTTAGATCTTTTGAGATCTAAAACTTTGATATAAAGTTTGTCTTCATCCGACTCGATTTGAAAAAGGTTATAAATGCTTCTGTGTTGTACCTTTTTTCGAGGCGGGCCAAATCGTCAACTGCCTCTAGTAATGCCTTCATTTTTAGAGGCGGCTAGAAAGTCTAGCCACCTCTAGAATGCCATTTTAGAGGTAGTTTGGCTTTTTTAGTCATCTCTAAAATTAGTGGGCATTTCTAATAGTGTCTAGGATTTCCAGCTATCTCTAAAAATCAACTTCTAGGGCGGTGTGGCTCAAAAACCTTTTTTAGATATGGTTCTTGATAGATCAATCTCTAAACTAAAAGAGAGATGCCTCTAAAAACGGTTTGTGTAGTAGTGAGAGGTACTAAAAAACTTGACTTTCTAAATTCCTCATGGAGTTGTCAGAAAATTACCCACCACGCCACTAGTTACACACATAGTAGTTCATTTTCTTTTTTTCCCTCCCCACACCATAGCTCTTCACGCACAAACTTTTTTCTCGCAATAGCAAACGTCACCGCCCAAACTCCTACAACCCTAGTGCCAGCATTGCAAATCCAACCGTCGAAGGCCCTCCATCAGCGAGGTGGTCACCGGAATGGACTAATCCAGTGATCTTTGACTGCCGACCCTAATCTCCCCTCTCTAAATGCCTCCTCCATCATGGCTCCTCGATCATGTTGCCTCAATGAGCACCAACTACACCATTGAGATGTTCTTGTGTAGGGTACGTGGTTCATCATCTGATTTGTCATTTGTTATAGGGATGCAAACCTTCACTGATTTAAATAGGTTTCCTTTTCTTCCTTGTGTTTTCAGTTTGACGATTCAAAATCAGTCGACCAACAATATGAACTCTTTCCAGGTAATGTCTATCCCACAATGCAGTTAGCTATTCTGCGAAATCATGTGGTCTTCTATCATCAAATCAATCATTTAGCTACCCATACTATAATGTGGAAATTGCAAGGACATATGATGCAAAGGATGAACAAGCAGAGATGCGAAGAGGTGGATGATGGATGGAGATGCAAAGGATGAAAACAAAGCCCAAGGCAAAGATATAACATAGAGTTTGTTTTCACCGGCCTAAGGTGATTAGAGAAGTGAATTGGCAGTGTTTAGAATATATAGCCGTATTATAACAAGGAGGAAATCTATACCTGATACGGTTATATAATGTCACTATGCATGTGAGATCTAACTTTACATATGTATTAGATTGAGTGGCGTGGAGAGGTGTAAATGAAAATCTTTTCAAATTGTTTCGAAAATGTTAACTTGGTGCTAAATGTGGTATTGGCTGTCCCATGGAAGACCTATTAGAGTTTGCCATTTGAGAAAGTTTGAGAAAAGAAGCTTAGTGGAGTGTTTTCACAAGATAACTTGTATATGGATTTACAAGATTTTTAAATAAAGGTATGCTTGCTCTAAATTCAAATAAAAATGGAAATATAGAAAAATAGAAAAAAAATGTAGCCCACGCCAGGAATGGCCCAGGATGCACACGCACGCAGGAACGCGGTTTGCCGACCCTGGTAGTAGGCCCAATACATGAGTGGACGCGTGAAAGTAAAAGCGCGCGGTGGTTGGGTCCCTCCAGTGCGGTGTGCGGTGCTCGCTCCCAATCTGGCAATCTGCCGCCAATCCTATCAAGTGTGGCGGTCCAGTTGGTGCATGCAGCAGCAGGCCTTGCGGACACACATGCCGTGTCTAATTTATTTATTTACTCCGATACACACAGCCTGCACTGCACAGTGCACTTACTTACTGCGGCTCCTTACTCGTATACGGTAATATGTCTGCCGCTAGCCGAAGCTGAATCACTATGGAAGTTTCGCCTGTTGTTCGTTTCAAAAAAAAAAGAAGAAGAAGAAGAAGTTCAGCCTGTTCAGTGCACATAAGTTTCTCATCTAGCGGGCCTACCGGCCTGGGTTGAAAGCCCGCGTACTCCACAGCTGGTCCGAAACCACGGGGAGCTTACAGTTGCAGCCCACAATACCCCTATTCCGCCAACTGATTTGCTTCCTTCCTTCCTGGACTTCACTTTGGTAAGACCACTCAGCAGCTCAGGTCGTCACTCGCCAGGCACTTTGCGTACAACCAACTGGTTAGTGCTACTAGCAAAGCAATCAAGCATGCATGGCGGCGCCTCTTCACGTCTCTCATCTCCTCGAAGCAAGCACAAAGCCTCCAAATGAAGCTACCCTCCCCTTTTTTTTTTCCGCAATCGCAAGCGACATTGCATGCAGCATGCCAAACTGTAAACGTACGATCGGGAGTCAACGCAAGCGATCGGGAGCTTTTCGATGTGATCTGCTAGTCTTGGACTAGGAGTAGGCGAGTAGCTAGCTCTGCTCTGCATTGCCTCTCGTCTCACTCTGATCCTGCTTGCTTGCTAAGTGAGATCAACCGAGCACTTGCTAGCTACCACGCACCGACCGAGGCATCGATGATGGATGACGACGACCTCCACAGCAACGGCAAGAACAAGCCGCCGCCTCGGCGGCGCCGCTGCTACTGCTGCAGCGGCACCACGGCGGCCACGCTGCTCATGTTCCTGCTCACCAACGCCGTCTCCGTCGCCGTCGTCTCCTCGGGCGCCGGGCCCTCCCTCCTCCGCCGCTACAGAAGCAGCGGCTACAGGCCCGCCGCCACCATCGTCCACCTCTGGGACGGCTCCGCGGCGCTCCAAGCGGACCTCAACGCCACGCAGGCCGCTCTCACCACCGGCCGCGCCTACCTCGCGGACCTCCACGCCCGTGTCCGCACCGCTAACGAGCTCATCCAGACGCTCCTCCAAGCCATGCAGGACCACGGCGGCCGGGACCTCCCTACGACGCCTGACTGCGGATGGAAGCGCGAGCCCACCGGCGAGCTCAGGCTGGCCGTCGGCCTGCATCGCAAGGTGGCCGGGGCTATGGCGGGGCAGGTGTTCTCGGTGCTGGGCCACGCATGCGTCCGTGTCCAGGACGACCTGGAACGCTACATGGACTACGCGCCCCGCGGGGAGTGCCCGTCCGACGAGCCGCTCGTGCATAGGCTTATGCTCAGCGGCTACGAGCCGTTGCCACGCCGTCGGTGCCGCCCACGGTCGCCCAAGGGGTACCCAGAGCCATTGCCGCTGCCCGGAGCCTCTGGACCACGCCGCCGGACACCACCGTCGTGTGGAACGCGTACGCGTGCAAGAACTACTCGTGCCTCGCGGCCACCGCCTGCGGCAGCGACATCAGCGGCTGCGACGACGGATGCTTCGACCCGCGTCGCGGGTGGGGGAATAAGAATAAGGCCAACAGATGGGCGCGCGACGATGGCGCGCTGTCCTACTCCATCGACGCCGTGCTCCGTGCGCGGCCCAACGGCACGGTACAGATCGGCCTGGACCTCTGCGGCGGCTCCCCCTCCGGCACGTTCGCGGCGCGGATGCTGGAGCGCGCGCGGGTCACCGTGCTCACCGTGGTCGTCAACTCCGACACGCCGTTCGGCAGCTTCGTCGCGTTGCGCGGCCTGGTGCCACTGCACGTCACCGCCGCGCACCGGCTGCCCCTGTTCGACGGTACCATGGACATCGTGCACGCCGGGCACGACCTCGGCGTCAGCGGATGGATGGCCACCGACGTGATGCTGGAGTTCGCGCTGTTCGACATGTACAGGGTGCTCAGGCCAGGGGGCTTGTTCTGGCTGGACCACTTCATCTGCGCCGCCACGCAGCTGAACGCGACGTTCGCGCCGATGTTGGATCGCGTCGGGTTCAGGAAGCTACGGTGGAACACCGGCAGGGGAAAAGAGAAGGGCCAGTGGTACGTCTCGGCGCTGCTGGAGAAGCCCATGACATGAGAACACTGTGTGGGTGTTTTTTTACTGAGAAATTGTGGCTGTAATAATCCTTTTGAATTATGTCTTGTTCATTCTTGATTTTGGTGTACTGTGACTTTTTGTCCAATTGCTGAAAAATGCAATACATTACGTGTCAGCTTCCTATTGGTTGGGACATGTACAGCGCGTCTCCTCGTTCCGTCTGTGTTTGTTGTCTTTTTTTTAAGAAAACACCTCGGTTCAGCTTGGAGACGGTGGCCTCGTCGACGACGAGGGCCCGTGCTCCGAGGCTGAAGCGTCGCCTAGAGCAGCGTTGTACGGTTCGTCTCCTCCTCACGGATCTTGCACGGCCGTTGCGTGGTAGAATCCACCCCACCTCACTCTCGGGATGCGGCTCAATGGAGGGGGAGGCTGCGGCGGCCTGCACCTTCGGTCATGGAAGCGGTTTGGCTGGTGTCGGCAGAGAGTTCCTGTGAATGGTGATGTCGTCTTGTACTTGTCCCTCTCCAATCAACCTTCGCCGCTAGGAGCCGAGGACGAGGATGAGAGGAGCAACGGATGGTACATCTTCCACTTTTCTTGCGCCCCCCCCCCCCCACCCTCTCTCTCTCTCTCTCTCTCTCTCTGATGCTATAGGCGCCATGAGGGGCTCCAAGCCCAGGTCTCTGCCCCTCCCTCCGGGGTCGAGAAGAAGGTGAGGATACGCCGCCCGCTCCGCTCTCTGTGTTCCGAGTTTCGATTTGTCCTTCCGCTGCTGCGATGGGTATTGGAGTTTTGGGACTGTGTCACGCTTGGATGAGTGTTCAGTACAAGTGTGGTAGTTTGGTTCGACTGTTAAGCAATGCAAGATGTTATTGCAGCTCTGAGCCCGTGTGTCACGACTCAGAAAAAAGAAGAAAATAAAGAGAACCACCACCATCTCCAAACCACCACACTGCACCGCCAGCCCCGGGACGACAAGGACGTCAGGGCGAAAACGCCGTCGTCACCACTCGCACCGTCGTTACCGATGATGATCCACACCGAGCTATCCTGCTGCCAAGCAGGACTAGCCGCCGTAGGTCGCTGCAAGCCGTTTAGCCCTCCCGCAATCGGATTCGCTTGCGCCGCCTGTCAAGACGATGTACCACACCGGACTAGCCACCACCAAGCAGGGCTAGCCGTCGTAGTCCGCTGCAAGCTGCCAAACCAACGCGTGAGCAGCTGCCTCTGGCGCTCACCAAACCGATCCCGTCCACCGAGATCCAGGCGCGTACACTGTAGTTTCTAGCAACCTAGCTGCCTCACCAAAGGTAGAAGTGCCACGTGGGTCCTCCAGCTGCTAGTCAGAAAAACCTTCTTACAGCGGAACGACCGCCGCTGAGCGGGAGCACCCGCCACCAAACCACGCAGGTTACCTCGGTAACGCAAATCTGCTAGCCACCACCTCCCACGCCGGTCTCCTCACTAGCTTCGTGGGCACCGCCCACGCCTGCCTCCTCGCCATCTTCGTGGGCGCAACTAGCGCACGGTCCCTCCAAGGACCATCGTCCTCCACCAAGCAGATGTCAAGCCCTCCAACCGTTGCGTCAACGCCCTCTTCCTAGCCACCTTCCAATGCCATGAACACTGGACCCCGAATCCTCAACTAGCTCTCCACCTTGTCGGCAACCGCCATGGCTAGCAAGCACGAGCTTCTAAAGCGACACCTCCAACAAGGGGAACGACGCCACAAGCGTCGTTGCCGCCTAACTAGAAGGTTAAGGTTTTACACCCAGGAAGAAAGCGCCACGCAAGGGGTGAGGGCTGATCGATGGACGCTTCCAAGGAAGTAAACGGCGCCCGAAGGCGTCGCCGTCATCGGCCCGAAAGGGCAAGGCTTTCGCCAAGGCCCCCAATCCCCTGCACGGGCCTCATTGCTGTCATTGCCAAGCGTGGGTTGCCGCCCATCATTGCCATCCCTGGAGCTCAGGGCAGCCGACCCCAAGCCGCCAAAGGCTAGGACAGCAAGGCAGCGTCACCGTTGTCCACCGCCGTGGGCACCAGCTGGCGCCGCCCACATCCCCCAGTGCCCTCCGTCCACCCCCCACGTCGGCACAGCACGGATCCGGCCCTAGGGCTGCCAGATCTGGCCGCCGGGGAAGGGGGCTCGACCCTGGCTGCCGCACCATCACCGCGGCTAGGACGCAGCGCCGCCGCCCCCTGCATGTCCGGACCGTTCCCGGAGCCCTGGGACGAAGCCACCGCCGCTGCCAATGTGGGCGTCGCCCAGCGCTCACCCAGGCATGGCCTGCCGCAGCACCGGCAGATCCGGCCCTGGGACCGCCGTATCCGGGCGCCGGTGCAAGGGAGCCGCCACGGGATGTCGCTCCCGCCGCCGTCGCCCGGCAACCCTGTCGCGCCGCATACGGTCGCGCTCCAAGGACACCGCGAAGCACCTGCCGTCTCCCCGACGTACATCCGGTCGAGGAGCGCCGGATTCGTGCGTGCCGGAGCTGGGAACCGACCGCCGGCAGCTGTCCTGCATGGGAGCTCCTCAGGGAGAGAGAGACAGAGAGAGAGAGAGAGAGAGAGAGAGAGGGAAGGAGGAGAAAAGGCCCAGCCGCCGGAGGCCGGCAGCGCCGTCCTTGCTCTCCGCCGGCCTCCGGCGTTGAGCTCCGGCGGCGGCCAGGAGGGGCTGGCGGCGGAGGAGGATGCGCCGCCCGAGTCGCCCTCGAGGAGAGAGCGACGCGGGGGACGGGGATGTTCTTGTCGCGCCTCGCCATTCTTAGGATGCATGAATGTTTGATTACTTGTAATTCAGAGTGTTTAATTCGGATGATAATTTCAACAAGACTGTAATTTCAACAGGACGATGAGTATGGGCGTGACAATTTCAACGGGACTAAAATTTTCCAGATGCAAGGCTTGGGATGGCCATGTTCAGTCTAGGTGTGTGCTAATTTCTGAAACTGCGGTGCTTCTCTGATGTCTAGCTAGGTGATCTATCATCTCAGATTGAAGCATTCGAATTCTGATGAGATACTAATGCTGAGATCAGGTACTTCTTTTATCCCTTATATAGTCTTAGATCACTTCCTTTATATAATTGTGCTGTAGTATGTGCCATCCGAATATTCGATTGCTATCTGGACTACAATATTGGTTTTACCTTCCCTTCCATGGACACATTTGTTGGGTTCTGAAAGCCCTTTTACCTTCCTGTATGTAGTCAGGTGATATTCATGAAGAGGTGGGGACTCATAACAGAATGCTATGATGAGCAGGAACAGTGAGCAGCCTACAAATACTTTTAAGTGTTTTAGTCATGTGTTTGGTTATCTGTTGTCTGAAAACTAGAATCATACATGGCCATGTTTTGGTTATCTGTTATGTGAACATGATGTCATTGCTGATTTGAGTTCACACCCCTCTAAATTGTACATGCTGTCACGTGATATGCTGATCCATTGTCATGTAAATGTTAGTGTGAATTGAGCGTACCTATGATCCATTTTATATCTAATAGCAACACAATGGTATATAAAATGGTATTCATGATTGATCTTGGCTACATGCAAAGCATTAATCAGCTTACAGATATGACTCTGTGGGTTGTACAACTTGTCTTTTTAGCTATCTGTACGTCAGATTCGAGGCTCTTGCAGATGACCCCTGTCTATGGGTTAAACATGCCCTAATTGGCTGAAATCTAAATGAAATCTGGACGATTGCCATGCAGTAACAATAGTAAAAATACTAAATGAATATTCTGCGTTGGTTTACAAAAAATAATACTACATTCTTTTGACATGTTAGCATTGTATTAAATTACAATAAAAGAAAACCAAGGTGTCCGTAGAACAATTTGGATTGCAGGGCACGAAATTAAAGAAGGCACGCACAGCAAGTCAGCAACCAGCCTAGTATCTAGCCGATTCAGTCAACTCTTGCTAATTACATTTCGAGCGCCTTATTAGGCAGTCTCAATGCAGAGTTTTAATACACAGTTACCAAAAGTACCATGTCAGTTTTACAAGTGAATGAAACAGTCCATCTTAGTGCAGAGTTTCATGACACAATTTCATAGTTTAGCCATATCATTTAATTGTTATATGGTGTTATGATCAAATATGGCACATAGCCTTGCAATTACATACAATTCTTTGCTTATCACGCACATAAGATCCTTGAAAGTGTGTGAGAATAAAACAAATTGGTCTCGGTGGAGGTTTCATCACGTTTCATTGTGTTGGTAAACGTGATGGATGAGTTTCATCCTGAAACTCTGTTTCTCTCTTTCCTCATAAATATCATGCCAACTAAACAAATTTGCTGATGTGGCACAACTTTAAATGAAAATGAAACTCCTATAAAACTCCCACTGAGACTGACTTTATTATCTCCCAAAGTAATAAACCACCAATAACAAATTTGGTAAAAGAAGTAAGAAAGGGGTCAAAATTTACGGTGCCTATATTCGAAATTTTTGAGGTGGAATTAGAATCAGAGATGCGGAGGACAATGTAGCTAAGGGTCTATTTGATACACACTATAACATCATGCGCCCGAGGGTCTATTTGATACACACTAGAACATAAGGCACCCTTTCGGGCGCCTTGCCATGATTTAAGAGACAAATACCAATCTGACCGACAAATATTGCTAAGACACTAAGCATAGTATATACCAATCTGATCCTTCTTGTAACATCAGCCTCAGATCAATATCTTTGAAAAGCCAGTATACATAAAAAAGGCAGCACCAAGAAATCTGAACCTGAAGTATGAAGTGAAATAGATTCGGAGAAAGGACTATAGTATTTTACAAGAGGGCGGGCATCCAATCCAGCATCCAAATAACTATCCATGTGCCACATAATACATGAATTGAGATATTTATTTTTCATCTATCTAGTACAATAATATAACATGCAGCACTCACCGAGGAAAATGAAGCAACCATGAGGATCCCCCATAAAACAGAACACAAACGTTGCAACCAAATATAACTAAAGCATCTACTTTTGTAGTGCACAAATGAACATACTAGTTCAAACAATT